TGGGAGGAGGAGCTCTGTCCTCTCACTGCGCCGGCTCCCCCTGGCATTTGGCTGCTCTTCCTGGCAGCCAGGCTCCTGAGCCACTCCCGGATGCTGCCTGGTGCAGCACAGCAGCTACCTGGGAGAGTGCCTGGCTCTCCTAGGCAGCTGCTGCACTGCACAGGGCAGCATCCCAGGCAGCATGGCTGGAAGAGGAGAGGCTCTAGCCTTCCAGGCTGGCCCTGCCCCTTCCACTCCCTGCCTGGGCCGGCGGGGGCACTTGAGCCTGGAGAGGGGCACTTGACCCTTTGTGTCCCTACCACCAGTCACCACACCTCTCACAAAAAATGTTCCCTAACTAGAGCCCTGCGTGGATACAAATTTATACCCGCGAATGCGGATATCCACAGATAGAAATTGGTATCCACTGAATCGCAGGGCTCTCCCGGGAATCGCAGTGGTGAAAGGAACAGAATGTGGGGCCATAGTGTGGCCCCACACCAGCAGGTCCTCTGGCATGGCTGTACCATCCTCAGCCCTTCCAGGCAGCTGCATCTCCTGTCTGGGGTCCGGACAGCCCTGCTGGAGGACAAGGCTAGGGATGGGGCTGCGAGTGGTACAGCTGTGCCGGAGGAGCTGCCGGTGTGGGGCCACCCGGCAGCCCCATGTTCTGCTCCTTTCGCCACTGCAATTCCCAGGAGAGCCCTGCAGTGTTCAGCAGATACCAAATGTGTCTTTCTGGTACGGCGTACTGGCAATAAAAGTCTTAATGGTACGGCATAGCTGACCATACCGGCTTACTTGCACCACTGCTACTAGGATAACCAGAGGAATGGAGAACCTACCTTATGAGAGGAGATTTAAGGAGCTTATTTTGTTACCCCAAGAATAGACTCAGGGATCCCAGAGTAGACCTCCTATTGCTTATCTGGGTTCTCAAGATCTTGACCTATTAATCTGTTCCTGCAAGGTGAAAGGAGGGGGCCCGCCCTAGTAGAATTGCCAGGGTTTACCAAGGATCTTCCTATGCCTTCAGGAAACTCCCAAGAACAGATTAGATCTGTTCACCCCTGTGAGGACATGGATACAGCCCTCTGCTCAAAGGATTGACACCCAAGCAGTACTTTTCCAAAACAAATTATTTTCTTTATTCAATGTAACCAATCTTTCCTAATACAATTAATCTAAACATAAATCCCTTAGCACAGGTATACAAGATAAAGTACTCAATACTGTAATGTTATACAGTTGGAATGGCTTAAGTGATTATGTTCTGCACATGGTGATCGGTCATATGCAGGACACTGGCAGTAATCTTAATAAACTCTAAATTTTATACATAGTAACAAACACGCACACCACAGACACTCATCTTTATTATCTTAAGTATGCACATTCTTAACCCTATATCTATTCTATAACTTATACTATAGCTAGCATGCTTATTCTCTGTAGGCTTCTCTCCCTCCGTTCTGTTAGGGTCCTTCTGCTCTGTCCCAACAGCACTGCTGCTGTTGCTGTCACCCTTTGCTTCTGCTGCTTCTGATTCCTTCAGTCTTTAGGTTTCTTCTGATTTTATTTGGTTCTCCTTCTTCTCTTGACTTGACTGACTTTTACCTGCTTACTTTCTGTCTTTTATACAATTATTGGCCTATTCTGATTGGCTTCTCAATCCTATCATTCGCATATCCATCCTCCAATCATCTTTAACCCCTTGCTGATTGGTCCATACTTATAGACCAATCACAACTGCAAAATCTAGCTGTCAATCAAAGCTGTTACACAAGTTTTAGTATTATAGGATGTTTACTATTATGGGATGGTGACCCTCACCTAGTTTTGGACTGAGCATGCATGACTCACCCCTCTCTGCAGTGTTGGTATGACCTTTACCTAACCTTGGTCCACATCTGCCTACCAACACACTAGCTATAGGCTAACCTGCTTAAATTGCCAATTCACTGACCTTGGCTGTGTGCCAACGTTGTACACACACTTAAATTACCAAACTTTAAAATATAAACCATCACCTATTTCTTTAGTATATGCTTAATTGTTAACTTACGCTCTTAACGTTATGGTCTACCACTGCCACCTCATTTCTTACCAATTTAGTTACTTTTATTTCAGTTCTTCCCCTATTTTCAGTCAATGGTGGCAAAGCAATGTTCTCAGTGCTGCGCTTAAGGAAACAAACTAGAGCAGCTCAAGATCTGTTCGGATCAATTTAGCCTAACAAAACAAAGGCTGAGAGGAGATATGATTGCCCTCTACAAATACATCAGAGGGATAAATACCAGTGAGGGAGGGGAGTTATTTAAGTTAAGCATCAATGTTGACACAAGAACAAATGGAAGTAAACTGACCAGCAGCAAGTTTAGGCTTGAAATTGGATGAAGATTTCTAACCACCAGAGGATTAAAATTCTGGAGCAGCCTTTCAAGGGGAGCAGTGTGGGCAAAAAAACCTAACTGGTTTCCAGACTGAGCTTGATAAATTTATAGAGAATGGTATAATGTGATTGCCCCCAATGGCATGTGGCCCATCTGCAACTGCTAGTAGGAAATATCCCCAACAGCTGAAGATGAGACACTAGATGGGGAGGGCTCTGAGATACTACAATGAATTCTTTCCCAGGTGTCTTCTGGTGGGTCTTGCCAACATGCTCAGAGTCTAACTGATCACCATATTTAGGATCAGAAAGGAATCTTCCCCCAGGACAGATTGGCAGAGACCCTAAGTGGGGTTTGTTTTTCTTCCCCTTCCTCTGCAGCATGGCAGGGGCAGCAGGTTTGTATAATTTTTGGTGGTGCCCAAAAGGGGTCCAAGTCCCGCTCCCCCCCACACACACATACCTGCCTAAGGCTCTCAGAGAGAGTTTGGGTGTGGGAGGGGTGAGGGCTCTGGGAGGGAGTTTAGGTGTGGGCTCTGGGCTGGGGATTGGGGTGCAGGAGAGGGTGTGGGCTCTGGGAGGGAGTTTGGGTGCAAGAGGGGCTCTGGGTTGGGGTGCAGGAAGGGATACGGGCTCTGGGAGGGAGTATGGGTGCGGGATGCAGGCTCTGGGCTGGGGAAGGGGGTTAGGGTGCAGGAGGGGGTGAGGGGTGCAGCACTTACCTCAGCGGCTCCTGAAAGCGACCCAAACACCCCTCTGGCAGCAGCTCCTAGGCGGGGTGGCCAGGGGGTCTCCACATGCCGCTGCCCGCAGGCACCGCCTCCGCAGCTTCCATTGGCTGCAATTCCCGGCCAATGGGAACTACGGAGTTGGTGCTCGGGGTGGGGCCAGCGCGCGGAGACACCCCCACCGTCCCCCCGCAGGGACGTGCCAGCCACTTCCAGGAGTGGCACAGAGCGAGGGCAGGCACGAAGCTGCCTTAACCCCACTGCGCTGCTGGTGGTGGCGGCTACGGCGCCCCAGGCCCTTTTAAATTGCCATGGGGTGGCAGGCGGGGCCAGGGGAGAGACCCAGCCCCAAACATTGGTGAAACTGGGCCCTGGAACACGGGCACAACGGGCCCATATAACTCGCCGCTCCTGCAGCATGGGGCCTGGCTCACCTATTGGTTTAAACTAGAATAAATTGTGGATTCTCTGTAACTTGGAGTTTTTAAATCATGATTTGAAGACTTCAGTAACTCAGACTGAGATTATGGGTCTCTTACAGGAGTGGATGGAATTAAAGCCTGAGTCTTTGAGTCTATAATGAGAGTCATGAGCAGCATGAGTCTGACATTCCTGTATCATCCTCCTCCTCTGACAGGTGCCTTCAGTAGGTCAGAAAACAAAGTGCACCAGTGTCTCCTGGATGCTCTGCACGTTTCTTGAGACAGGAGTGAAAGCCCAAGAGTTCTTCAAATGGTAGCGACTCCTCTGTGTTGCTGGCTCTGGTTGTTGGGACCCAAAAGATGGCTCCGGAGGACATGTTAGTGGGCTGCAACAAATTCCTGTATGGTGAGGGTGGACAGTTAAGCTTTCTCACACTGCATCATGAACAAAGGGCTAGAGCAGATACAGACAGGGAAGGAGCTAGCAAGCCTGGGGTAGGCTGGTTTGACTTGGTTCTGTGTTGGGAACTGGACAGCAACAGAAAAAATCAGAGAGCTGGACCCTCAGCTGGTGTAAATCAGCCAAGCAGCAGTGAAGATCCAGTGACACCAGTTCATGCTACCTGAGGATCTGGCCCAGACACTTTGGCTCTCGTTACACTACAGAAACTTTCATAAAAATGTCTACTGTTGCCATCACCAGTCCAATTACAGCACTGTTAGCAGTGCTGGGATCCCTGAGCTAGGTGGGCTGTGGCCATGGTTGCTGTATGTATGCATCTCCATATCATGTAGCACTGCTCCCAGCACCGGCCAGCATGTCTGATCTCAGCCCAGCCCCTTTCTCTCCCTCTCCCGAGGGTGACCATACGTCCAGTTTTGGCAGGGACAGTTCCTTTTTTAAGCCTTGTCCTGGCGGTCCTGACTTTTTCCCCCAAAAGGAGGCATTTGTCTGGTTTGCTCTTGCTGACAGTTGGCAAGAGCAAACGGGACAAATGCTCACTTTTGTCAAAAAAGTTGGGTGTGGTGCGGAGCAACGTGTGATGGGCGGGGGGGGGGACGAGCAATCAGAGCCTCCAGCCCCCTCCTGCAGGGGGGAAGGCAGAGATGGGGAGGGGAGGGGAGGCAGCGTGGCAGTGGAGAGGCAATAGCCTCGTGAGGGAGGGGGCACCTCGGAATCCCGTTTTCAATTTGGGAAATATGGTCACCCCCCCCCCGCACCCCGCTCTCTCCTGCTCCCCCCCACACCCCTCCCCTTTCCCCCGCCCCGCCCTCCTCCACACTCTCCCTTTGCTTCCCTCCGCCACTTCTCATTCCAACCCTCAGCCCCGCCCCGCTCCCTCCGATGGGGTCCTCCGGCCCCTAGGGGGAACTCTCCGCGCCACCTCCCGTTCCCGGCCGGGCAGGGTGTCTGTTCCAATGCCTGATTACAATCCGCGCCGCACGGCTGCCCTTCGGCGCGTTGCCTCGGGCAGGGCCGGGCCCTGTGCGCGCCGACACTGTGGTGGCTGATAGCGGGAAACAGGCGCTACGAGGCAGCCCCATCAGACGCAGGACCCCGGTCCTACTGTGCCGTGCCGCGCCGCTTGGCTCTGGACGCGGTGGGCCAAGATGTCGACGAAGAATTTCCGAGTCAGCGACGGGGACTGGATCTGCCCGGACAAGAAGTGAGGGGGGCCCGGGAGCCCCATGGACGGGGGGTGCGGACCGCGGGGCGCCATGGACGGGGAGCGGGGCCCCAGGGCTCCCGGGGGGCGGGGTTCGGGGGAGCTCAAGGTCCTCGAGTTTTCTTCCTACAGGGCACAGGAGGCGCCGTTTGCGGGGCTGTTGCTTCTCCGGGGGCCATAGGCCGCTGGGCAACGGCTGGATGGTGGGGCAGGTCCCTGCCCCTTAGCGCCTTCTCCCGGCGGGGATCTCTGCTGCCTCAGGCTGGTTTAGGGGGGCCCGACATATGAATAACGCCCTTTAGAGCAGCGCCCTTCAACTCAAAGGCCTCCCCGCCCGGGAGGCTCAACTACTCTACTGGCTGCACCCCAGGGTCACTTCGCTCTCGGGGCGGGGACACGATGGCAGCTCTGCACCACACACTGCAAAGAAAGCGAATGGGCCCCGATCCCGCAACGTGTTCTGCGGGGGTGCACCCGGGCCCGTGGGTGCACCTCAGAGCCCGGTCGGTGTCGGTAGGGCTCTGTGGGTGCAGGGGTGTGCCCGAGCAGAAACACTGCAGAATCAGAACCGTAAACTGGAAAATGACATGGCTATAGGAGTACAGGGTACTTAAAATCTGCAATGAAACCCAACAATCCTTCTGTCTTATTTATAAGTCTTCCGTTAGGTTCCAGTATGTTTGAGAAAACATTTAATAAGAAAAGTTAAATATTTACCCAGGGTGCTTTATTAAATACAAAATATTTGCCAACTTTTGCCGGATGTTTACAGTTAATGAAGGGCAGGGCTTTGGAGCTGTGCCCCAGCTCCAGGCAAAAACCTGCCTTTCCACAGCTCCGTAGCTGCTCTGCGCTCCAGCTCCGTGCTCTGCTCCAAAGCCCTGAATGAAGGGCCTAGTGCTATTACTGTGAAGCAGTAGAATCTTGACAAAATAAAATTGCCAGCGGCCTTTGTTTTTTTTTGCTGGTCTGAAATGTGTATTTGTACAACAAAAGGAAAACTAACGGCCCTGTTACAAACAGCTAATTTATTTCCGAGGTTAGAAAACAAAAAGTCACTGTTAAAGTTTCTTTGAATTTCTATAGCAGTTTTATTTTAACTACAAAAATTAAACTACCAACATTAAAATCGTTCAAGCTGGGAAAATGTCATGATTCATTTTGCAAAACAAAGAAAACTTTATAGGATTTTTCATCTTCAAAACATTTTCCAAATATTAATTGCTATCATCTTTATCCTCTCCCCATTTTAAAAAAACTGTTAATTGCCCTTCATAAGAATATATTTCTTTTTTCAGGTGTGGAAATGTTAATTTTGCTAGAAGAACCAGCTGTAACAGATGTGGTCGAGGTGACTATCTTTCCAGTTTAGATTTCCCTTCTCTCATATTCCCCCCAAAAGAATGAAATGTTCAATCTATAAGAAACTTTTTGAAAATTATTTCGTTGAATCTATTTTCAGAAAAAACAACTGAAGCCAAAATGATGAAAGCTGGAGGGACTGAAATAGGGAAGACGCTTGCTGAAAAGAGCCGTGGCCTGTTCAGTGCTAATGATTGGCAATGTAAAACGTATGTTGGTTTTGAAACTTTAATATTATTCCTGCCATAAACATTTTTAATTGACTAAAAGGTCTTGTATCTTGGATATTTAACTCAGTCAGAATCAATGTGGCTTTTAGTGAGTAGGCAAGAGAAATTGGGACCTCCTTTTTTTTTTTAAATACTTTTTAAAATAGGTTTTGTATGTTTTCACATTAGATTAGTTTTCATTTAGTTTTTTTCTGGACAACAAATATTTAATCAATATGACTTTGGACAGACAGGATGGTCTTTTGATTATAGCACAGGATTGGAAGTATGTGTTCCGTTCCTGATCTGAGTGAAAAACTTCCTGTGTGATTGTAGGCAAGTTACTTCACATCACAGGCTACTGTGTGTGTGGATCTTTTAAAAAAAGAGGTGGGGGTGGGAGAATAAAACTTACTTCATAGTGACTTTGTGAAGTTTCAAAAGGTGCGAAAGAAGGGCAGAGTACAGCGAAATTATGTTTTTCCACAAACTCCACATGTGAATACTTGTATTGTTTGAAACTTTTATGGAAACAGATTTTTTTTTGATACCCTGATTTTACGAAGAGCTTCGTATCTCCTGAGACCCTCTTTTTTTGATTTATGAATTCAGTCTTTGTTAATCTACATAAAATTTCCAGTCTCTGAAACCTGTACTTATTAGAATATTTTTCCATCTCTAGAAAATGCTAATAGAATTCTAGTTGACGTTTATGTCAAATTTCAACTTTACAACTTGCACTTGCCCCTGTGTTCCTACAGATTGCATCCATGCGCTCCTATTTTTCACCCTCTAATTCTTGTCCTTTTCCCACTATTTTCCAATCTTCCTCTGTTTTCTTCCATCTCTACTGCCTTTTTTAAATAAGCCAAGCACCTTTCCCCAATATATATAGAACCCTTGAAAAAAAGTGACAGGTAAAAATGACTTTTGTACAGTTATGATGTGAAAGTTCCTTTTATGCCCAAATATATGCCATTTTATTACTATAATATGATATAGATATGTGCATATATATGCATTTTAAGCTTGATCATAGCTGTGCCTCTCTTGGGGCTGACGACTTGACTCATGCATGTGATCCTTATGCTGGCAAAATTCCTATAGACTTTTCTGGGAGTTGTGTGTACATAAGTACTGCAAGAGTGGGGCCTGATGATGTTACAATTACCTATTTGTTTAGTAGTGAATTTAAACCACAGCTAATCAATATCAATTGATTTCATTCTTTTCTGGAGCATGTTGCCTAATTCCCAAGCTCTTTAACTTGAAATAAAATGTTGCATCTTTACACTTACTTTCTTTTCCCTCCCCCACTAAAGTTGTGGCAATGTGAACTGGGCCAGGAGATCAGAGTGTAATATGTGTAATACTCCAAAGTATGCAAAACTGGAGGAAAGGACAGGTAAGATAAATTTGCTTTTTTAAATACTCAGTTCTCTTCATAAACTTTAGAAATCATAACATAACTTAAATCAAGTGGTCATTTTTAATAGGCATATAGCAATGCTACCTAGTCTTCCTCTTGCATATCCCATCCTTGTAAGTCTATATACGTGCTAAATATTACTAGTATGTAAAGTACAAGTGTGATAGTGGTTCACCTCAGGAAATCCTCTAAGGTCATTCAGTTTAAACCACTTTCTCAGTTTTCATGAAGATACAGTATTAAAACAAATTCTTAAATAAATTTCCAACAGATTATGTTTAAGCTCAGAAGATGTTAATTTTGAATTTCTGATATGTAGCCATAGAGTCCATCTACACTAGACTTATAAGTCAGTAGTAGGTTACAATCATGTTTCGGATATAATAAAGTCCCATCTGCATTACAAAATGGAACCATATTATAAGTAGGTCAGGGTTGCAACCATGTTGTAACTGGAACTGATTGGGTTGTAATTGTGTAGACAAGCCCAATAAGTGTTACATGGTCAGGGAATTAATCTGTTTTAGTATTCTGTCACTTCTAAAATTAGAAGCATAGAATTTAATTTATTCCTCATAGAGAAAAGTACAAAATACAGTTTTCTATTTCTTCCACAATTCTATTTATTCTATTTATTCCTAAAAATAAACTAACAGTCATGTTGACCAGTCGTATATATTGAAAGTACATGTAGCACAATGCATTTTTATTACTTACAAATAACTATAAATTATAGCTGAAATTAAAGTTGAAAATTAAAATAAGTAGTTCTGAGCTCCCAGCAGATATTCAGAAATGGTGAAATATGTTGGGGACTCTAAACAGTTGAACAAAATACATGTTGGGTTTGTGTGTTGAGAATTTTTTAAATGTGTTGCTACCTTATAGAAAACATTCACTGTAGAAGCCATTCTGATCAGGTTTGGGAAGAGAAGGATGGCTCACTAATGTCTTTTTTACTAAGGATACTTGAATGAAAGGATCTCTGTTTTAAAAGTTCATTTTTTTGTGTGTGCTAATTATTCCCCCTTTGTAGTCGTCATTCTCTTTTTTGCGGGGCTATATTTGGCGGCATTAGTGATATTTGTTGTGTCAAAATATCTGCTATGACTTCAAATGGCAAGAACAGTTATTTTGGAAATGGCACGAGCAATGAAGAATGAGGAGTTTAATGGAAGTTCAAGTTTGTTATGATAGTTGGGTATATACCATTGAAGGGGCAATTTTAATGTGTTTACTAGCAATCATTTCAAATGGAATGTGATAAATAACCTTAAGGCTTCACTTTATAAAATATTTCCTGTATGCAACAAAAAGCAGTAACAAAATTGTGCTTGAAGCAGAAATGTGCTTGTAGCAGAAATTGTGCTTGAAGCAGAAATGTCAACTCAGTCATATTCCCTTTTCCTCTGCTTTCCTTCTGAAATCACCCTATAAATGTAGGGTTAAACAAAACGTGCAAAAAAATGTTTTTTGGGGAACTAGATTATCTCCCATGCCAAATTTGCCTGGCAAATCTATAGAGTGTCAGGGAGTCTGTTTCAGCTTCTTGATTCTCAGGCCCACTCTTGATCGTATTCAACTTAAAACTGCTAGCAAGGAGTATTAAATTCCACTTCTGTGTTATGGGCTATAATGGACCCTACATCATGGAAGTATGGCAGTGGTGGAACAGAGCCCTCTCTGCCCTGACATGCCCTGTGGGTCAGAAGGAGAGGCAGGGTCTGGCTGCAGCTCAGATGCTTCAGCAGGGTGTTCTCCTACACAAGAGGGATTTTCTGCTGGACATTTACAGCCTGATTATGTCTCCTTTGTGACACTTGGCCCTTAATTAGCTAAACAGTCGCAGTGGGATGTATTTCTTTAATTTAGCAAAGGTTACCTCAGTTTCTCAATTAGATATGTAAAAACTATTTTTGATACACTTGTGTGAGAACAGTTTAATGTCTACTTCCCTTCAGATTGCATAACATTCCTAGTATAGGTTTCATGATAGCTTATACATCTAGAAACATCTTCTATTGGATTTTAATCAGATGTAGCATAATAAAAGCATTTACCAAAGACTTTGTATTTGGTGTAATTGAATTTACACAATATAAGAGGTTATCTCGTACATTCTTATTTTACAATTTGCAGGATATGGAGGAGGTTTTAATGAAAGAGAGAATGTTGAGTATATAGAACGTGAAGAATCAGATGGGGAGTATGATGAGGTAAGATTATGTATAATTATTACATTGGAGGAACATAAGTTAAAGTGAAGAGATTTGTGTTAAGAGCACATATCTGGCAGGGACGCCTGGCTTGAGAAACTAACTCAGGGTATATCTACGCTGCAAGCACTACAATGGACACAGCTGCAGTTATGCCATTGTAGTATAGACACTTCCTGCAGCGATGGAAGGGGGTTTTCTGTTGCTGTAGTAAATCCACCCCCTCGAGATGCTAGGATCCACAGAAGAATTGTTCCATTGACCTAGCTGCTATCAATAGTGGGGTTCAAGCTTTGACCTTGCTGCAACTACCTTAGGTTGATCTAACTACATCCCTCTGTGCATCAAATTTTTCACAGCCTGAGTGATGTAGCTACGTTGACCTAAGTTTTAGGTGTAGACCAAGCCTCAGCCACCCAGGCTCAGGGTGAGGGAAGCTAGCTGTATAAATCTTTTGAATTACGGCTTTTGCCAATTCATATGTGAAGCAGAATTGGTGTTGAATCTGGAAAGTTGTGGGGGTAAACTTCTAAAAACCAGTTAAAATTTAAATTGGTGGGAGTTAACTGTGGTTTATGTTTCATTAGTTTAACTGCTTACAAGATCTGCTTTAGATTTCCTATGCTATTTTCTTTAGGGTGCTCATACTGCTTCCCAAATATACTGAAGTCTTTATAAAGCAGTCTTGTAAAGCACATACTGTTTGATTGCATCCACATTTTTGATGAATTTATCAGAATATAGACATTGTGATATGTCTTTCATTTTAGATCTACAGTAGGTTTTTGCTGAGTACTTTTTGGTCATTCAACTAAGATTTCATGGTAGAAATTTGCCTTTTCTGTCTCCACACATAGCAATATATTTTTTTATTTGTAATTAAAGCCAGGCTTTGGAACTGTGTTCCGGCTCCAGGCAAAAACCTGCAGCTCCACTGCTCCGGAGCTGCTCCGCGCTCCAGCTCCGGGCTCCACTCCAAAGCCCTGAATTAAAGTTGTTTTTACTATTTTTCACTTTTTCCCACGAGTCTTACAAAAGTCTTAGTTCATTATAGTCTTTTCATGTTAGCTAGTAGGCGGCTGCTTGTTTAATATACTGTAATTAGTATTACTTGTGTTGGAGTGGGCGGAAACAAAGCATGTGTCACTCACATTATTTATTTGCAATTAGTTTGGTCGCAAAAAGAAAAAATACAGAGGGAAGCCAGTTGGGCCTGCATCTATCCTGAAGGAAGTAGAAGATAAGGAATCTGAAGGGGAAGAAGAGGAGGATGAGGATGAAGATCTTTCCAAGTATAAATTGGATGAGGTAAAATAATTCTTGTTCTTTGTTACTGCTGACGTACTATGTTCTTACTAAGTGAGATTGGCCTTAATTCTTAGCTGCTTGTAAATCGGTATTGTTATACAATACATAAGTTATAAGTAAGAATGATACACTCTCCTAACCTCTGTATGCGTATTGGAGTGGGATATGTGTGTATTGGAAGAATGCATGAGCTAAGGAGAGTTTGTCAGCCTGAACTCGGTATTTGTTGCTTTGAATGACTGCGGTCAGAATCTTATCACTTAAACTTACATTTATATTTTAACGTTGGGAACAGAATTAATCATTGTAAGAAATATATGTTTATATAGGCTGTCTTAATAGGTAGATCCAGTAGATTATGGTGAAAATGCACACTAACATCTTTTTGAATTACCTACTGCTGCACTATTTTTGATGTTTTCAAAATATCTAAAATAAATGTCAACATGGACTAGACATGTTCCAGATGTCTTCTGTTAAATGATGCTGGCTTTATTTTTAGCTATAAAATTGAAATAAATATCTTCCTGATCTGCAGTTTTGTTTTTAATACATAGTGATTGTTAAATATTAGTTGTTCCTTTTGGGCCATGATCATGAAAAGACTTGTGCACATGTTTACTTTTACACATTGACCAACAAAATCAGTGGGACTTCTCAGAGTGTAAAGTTAAGTATGTGAGGAATTTGCAGAATTGGACCTAAGTTTGGTAATGGGATAGACTTCCTCTGAGCCTGAGTCTTCTGCCAGACATCTGCCCAAAATAAAGCTGTGTCTCATTTTTTTAAGACAGTCACTGAACTGTAATACAAATGCTGGCATTATAATTCACTACCTAACTTTTTAATTATTTAGTCATTCTGCAGGTTTTTGAGGATCACTTTTTTCAGTCCTATTTTATTGCTGTTTCTGAAATTATTTTTATGTAGCTATTTGATTTTTAACAAGCTGCACTCAATGCTTGAGATTTTTTTGTTATCTTAACAAAAGAGAACTAAAAAAACGGATTTGTAAAGATTGGCATAAGCTCCAAATAAAGTACAGAACAAGAGCAAGTAAAAACTACTACTCCAAATGAAAACAGTCTAAAATGTAATCCTGCTTTCTGCATATTTTCTTCATATTTAAGTCTCCACACCTAACTAACAGTCTACATTTTTTCAGGATGAGGATGAAGATGAGGCTGATCTCTCAAAGTATAATCTTGATGCCAGTGAGGAAGAAGATGCTAATAAGAAAAAGAAAACCAACAGGCGCAGTCGCTCTAAATCTCGATCTTCCCACTCACAATCTTCATCGCGCTCATCCTCCCACTCAAGCTCAAGGTCTAGGTCAAGGTAAACGGGTACAGGTCAAGGGTAACGCCAGGCAAAATGTCAGTATCTAACTTCTTTATTTACATCTTTTTTTCTTGATTGACTTTTATAGTTTCAGTTAATAATGTGACAGTTTTACATATTCAGTTTACACAGGTAGATTACATTTTTATAGTGGCCTTTTGTAGCGCCACAGTTTTAAAAGTGAGGGCTTCTTTTAGTTTGTCACTTTGCTTTCAGTGAGTTAATGTTTCAGCTGTATCTGTAACCAATGTGTCTTATAAAAACAGGAAAGCTAGCATGTTTTCAAAACTAATTGTAGTCCTTTTGGCTTGCTGTTGAGTAGTCGCATTTAATGTTAGATGCTTTTTTGGAAGTACTGAGGATTGTTGGGAGAAAAGAAGATAAACTGGGAGGCGGGAATAGTAAAGTAGGAGGTAATGCAATCAGAGCAGATAAAGTAGAAGGTCACTATTGGAAAATGCCTTGAAGGTGAAGATGATAAACTTGAGTTTCATGTGGTAGAAAAGGGGAAGTCAATGGAGGGATTAAGATGATTATGATGTGGTTAGAGCATCAGGCAAGGAAGATGATCTTAACTGAGTTAAAGAGTTTGCAGGGTCTACATGGGTCTCAGTGAGGCCAGATAAAAACTCTAATTTGCACATTTAACGAGAACACAGAAAAGCTTATTCTCAAATCAGTAGTGAACCAACCATTTAATAAACACATCATTTTATTAGTTGGTTTAAAAAAAAAATTCTCTATTTCTTAAGCTCCTTAATACTAACAAATGTGTAAGATTAACACATAGATATCTAACTAGTAGTAGTATAGCTAAGAATTAGTTATTGTAGGAGGAAGCTTATAATTTGACCATAATAAATTGCTGAAGTTGAAACTTGGTGAATAGCCTCTTGATTTAGGAGAATTTGCACCTGCAGAAAAATCCATTAGGATGGTCTCAAGTTCTTGGAGTAAAAAAAAAAAAAAAAATTTTTTTTTTACACTTAAACTGCTTCTCTCTTTAAAATATCAGCTATTTTGCCAGACTTTAAGGTAAGTGAGGCACACTTTGCTTTTGTCTCTGAAGTGGCCAGGATTTCAAATATGTGAAAATTAGCTTTCCTTTTTCATTTTTGTTAGAATGTGTATATTAAATGTTTTACTTGGCCTACATGACAGCACATTGCCCCTGCACCTTCCATTCAAAACTCATTTGCTAAGTGCACCATCCTTGCCTGACTTTTTTGAACCCTCTACTGAATTCCCCTTTTCCACTTCATAAAGTTTCTTCTATACAGAATGCCCTCCATGAACAGATCCATAGATCACTATCCTTTCCTTGAAATGCCTCCATAGGTTAGAGTGCCTACAAGAAGCTAACCAAATATTATTGGCAGAGCTGATTGGCACTTGCCAATTTGTTTATCAAAAACCACATTTTGATAGTACACCTGTACCCCGATATAACGCTGTCCTCGGGAACCAAAAAATCTTACCACGTTATAGGTGAAACTGCGTTATATTGAACTTGCTTTGATCTGTTGAAGCGCGAAGCCCCCCCCCCCCCCCCCCCCCCCACGAGCGTTATACCCAAATTCGTGTTATATCAGGTCGCGTTATATCGGGGTAGAGGTGTACGTTTCATCTCTTTTCTTCCACCCTTCATCTTAGAGTCTGAGTTCTGTGAGGCAGGGACTGTGTCATCCTGTGTGAACTGCACCCACTGCATGGGAGCTACTGGAATGCAAATAAGATTCTGTCATATTTTTAAAAAAATAATACAAACTACAGTCAGCTCAGATGAAGGGTCAAACATAAATTCACAACCCTCAAAGTTGATGAAAAGTAGTTTAATTTATTTTGTGTTTCCTGGGATTTCCCAGTTTTGGGTGGAATCTTCTCATGGATACTTCAATACATATTCACAACATTGGGCTGAGTCTTCATTTAATTAAACATAAATGTGTGTTCAAAGGGTTTTGAGTTCTCCTTGAAGTTTTTGTTTTTTAGAAACCTAAATCTTATCTTGCTAAAAATAAAAGTGCAGGCTATTCTTGTTCTGCATAATATGATGAAATAGAGACATTGGTAACAATATTTATTGGGAGTTACGGAATTAATTTACCAAATAGTGCCAGAAAAGGTTATTAAAATTTGATTTGCCATGTCTTCTCTTCAAAATAATTACAATTATACCAGACTTGTAGTACTGTACTCTTGCAGCTTGCATTTTAAGGAGACACCATCAATTTGAAAATTGCATTAGTTTAAAAACATTGTAAAGTTACAAGTAATGCCTGAGGTTTCCGTAAATTAGCAAAAAAATTTACTCTTGTGTGTGCATTGTGCCTTTTATACAGAGGAAACAATGAGACTGATTATAGGCAGTTTCACACTTGCTGAAAAGAGCCTTGTAAATATCAACAAGTGAATAACAAATCTTGACACTTTTTAAATACATTGTTTAAGAAATGTTCATGATAGTGTATTTGGAGTACTATATCAGATACTAGGACTCCTAATTTAATACACTTCTAAAAATCCAAGCTGATGGTGTCCCATTAAGGTGCAAATTACAAGATTTGGGTTGGATTCATGAAATAGTTAAAGGGTAAGCAATTATTTTATTAACTTTACCAAATAACTGCTACCCTATTTTGTCTGCTTTCACAATTTAACTAATAGTTCTAATGACAACTTTAAATATCTTAATAGGAAGCCATTAATAAAAACCTTAACTTATATATTGGAAATTCTTACTAGAATTATCTATCAACAGTTGAAAGTAAATAAATAACTCCAATGTACAATCTGGCAAAATTTTAAAGACCAAATAGTCTTTCATGAATCTGGGCCCAAGTACTTTAATAAATAGCTGCATCTGCATATTGTTAAAAACAAATTATGGAAGAAAATGAATATTAATTTTTGAAAAGTTCCAAATATTAAGAACTAGTATTTCAGATGCTCGTATGCATGATCAAAATTCTAGATGTAATTTTACAATAATCATGTCTCATAAAGCTGTTTAAGTATTGGAAAAAATCCTCCATGTTGTTTCAGGTCCCATTCAAGAAGCTCTTCCAGTTCCAGATCAAGATCTCGTTCCACTTCCAGAGAACATTCTAGATCTCGTGGGTCGAAATCAAGGTGAATGAGGTAGCTTTCTCTCTGCTTTGCAGAGAGAAATTAAAAGGGTAGCAGAACTGATTGCTTGTTTGTTTCTCTAAAAAACTATTTTGACTTAACTCATTTTCAGCATGGAAGTCAGTTGTTCCCAGGTCCAGTGTTCCAAGGAGTTACCACTATTAAATGAAATAATTATTCTTGAAAATGCAAGTTTGTTTTTTTTATGAGACTATTTTTAAAAGTCTGGTCTAAAGCTAGGCAAGTGGATAACCCTATGTCTGCAATATGTCAAAGCAAGAGAATCTGAATGCATATTTTTGCTTAAAATAATTCTTGGAACTTTATTTACTGTTTCCTCTGGCAATTAAGTGTGAAATATTAGAAGATGTGCTATACTCTTATTTTGTATATATTGGTAATGTATGTGATCCCCCATTAGACAAAACTGTTGAAACTTTATTGTAAACGTGGGGGAAATATGTGAAATCAGTGGGTTACTTACATGAGTAATTGATCAGTGAAGTCTGAGATTACTCACATGTGGTCAAGGCAAGCAAGACTTGGTCCAGATTTTCTGGATATACTCATTAAAGATGATTTAGCTGGTCTTTTTGTATAGCAATTGTTGAACTGTGCATGGCAGCCAAAGCTAGCAAGTAGTCCTTGTGATGAGTTCACTGAGGCTTCCTGTTGACAGAAGTTTTTGCAGTAGAATGCAAATCCACCTCTTTTTTCCATTCCTGGAGAGGGCCCCTATGGTGTGAAACCAGTGGGGCAGGGCATCTAAAATTAGTTTTGCATCCCTTGTGTAGCACAAACCTCTTGAGTATCCTCATTTAAGGGGTGGAATATAAGCAGGGATTCCATTATCTCCTAAAGAGAAAACCGTTGAATGCTCCATGCAGCCTCTGTGGGTATCTTACAGCAGCATGTGAACTCCCCTCCCCACCTCTCTGACCACAGTATAAATAGTGTAGATAGTGAACGCTTGGAAAAATAAAGATACACCTGACACTCATAGTATATACTCTACACAGCTCTCTACACACCAAAGCATTGCCTCCCCATCTACGCTGTTGTTTTTAGCAGTGTAGTGTGGGGAAAGGCTCTGCTGCTGGAGCTTTCCTCCCCTGCTGGGGAAGACTCCATCAGTGGACAGAGAGGCTCCAGCAACTCCCTGTAGTAGGGGAAAGGCTCCAGCAGCAGGGAGCTGCTGGACCCTTGCCCCACCACAGTGAAAGACTTTGGGAGGAGGGAAAGGCTCTGGCAGGGGGAAGGCAGTGGGGAAAGGTTCCCACTGCCTTCTCCATGCCAGAGCCTTTCACTGCCCCATGTAGCTACATTCTGCAGTGTGGACGCATCCTGCTTTTCACTGTGGCATGGAGCTACACTTACCCTACATGCTGCAGCCAGTGGTGTGCAGTGTGGATGTATCTTATGAAACAGTTCTTTAGCTGCTCTGAGGGAAGGATTACTCCCTCATTCCACCCTCCATTTGCCCAATGTCCATATTGGCTATATTTGTCCTGGGCATTAGTCTGAATTTTAGCCTAGTGAGAATTGCAACTGGTATAAAGTTAAGTAATAAAAGACAAAGCAAATTATTATTTGACATCCCATTGATACTGAAGCAACAAGTTCAGAACAAGTTATTTTTAGGGTACAAAATTGGTTTAAAAACGGGATTTCAGACCTCCCTGTCTATTAAATTACTTAACATTTGTGAGTACTTTATTTACAATGAAGATTGTGAAACATTTCTGCAGGTTTGATATCTGAAAAAGTACTGTCACCAAATCCTCTTTGTCTGGTGGATTTAACATTGGGCTTGGAAATAGAATTTAGGACCTCCTGACTTCATCATCTTTTCAAATCCACAAATACGATTTTTTTTCATGAGAAAGTAGCTGATTTTTGTAAACATAAATGACGAAATGCCATGCAAGATATTTTGCTAACATTTTTAGTTTATTAAAATTGCTTCAGTTTAGCAGAAATCTTGCAAACTCAAATAGGCGAATTTGGGTGGGGGGAATGGCCATTTTTGAGATTTCTTCCAATTTTAGTAATTTTTTTTATAGGTTCATAGATTCTAGGACTGGAAGGGACCTCGAGAGGTCATCGAGTCCAGTTCCCTGCCCGCATGGCAGGACCAAATACTGTCTAGACCATCCCTGATAGACATTTATCTAACCTACTCTTAAATATCTCCAAAGATGGAGATGGAGATTTAGGCAGTTTATTTTTGAAGTAACCTTGGTTTAATGATCCACAATGGAATATGAGCGAAACATGATTTTAAATAGCTTATGTTAAATCTGTAGTTCTCCTACCTCTCACTTTATGGACTGTACTACTTAGCACGAGTATAGTCATCTTGTAGGCTGTCTCTCATCCCAATCTCCTGCAATATGTTTAACAAAAAAGCTTAATTCTGGAGAACACTGGGAACAAGCTCCCAAACCACTGGTCCACAATACCATATTTCAAAAGCATTACTTTAAAAATAAGTATTTTTATTGTTAAGGTAGAAGTTCTTATTGACTGTTAACTAAGAAGTAAGTATTAAAATATCCACAAATACATTTTGTAACATGTTGTGGCAAATCTTGTATTGAATGTTCTTTGATCTGAACTCTGTAGTAGACTTTTGCTGTCTTCTTTGTATTATGCACAAATTAAATCAAATTTATTTCTTAATCAATAAAGATCCAGCTCCAGGTCCCACAGGGGGTCTTCAACCCCAAGAAAAAGATCTTACTCAAGCTCTCGTTCATCATCTTCCCCTGAGAGAGGCAAGAAGCGGAGTCGCTCTAGATCTTCTTCGCCCGGTGATCGCAAAAAAAGACGATCGAGATCACGGTCACCCGAAAGGTTTGGGTTTATGTAGAATAAGAATGGGTGCATTTAAAATGTGTGTAATACACTTTGTGAAGAAATGAAATGAACTGGGAAAGGATTGAATTTTATCAGTTATTCATTTTGGTATTTAAAAATAGGTTTTCTGCCCTCCCTCTCCCAATTACCATGCTGCTTTTTAAAACATAAATGTTTTAAAACATCAAAAAAAATCTTTCTTTGCAAAATCTCCTGTTAGGAGCATGTTCCATAGAAAAAGACCTAGATAACCATTGTTTCAGTGTTTGAAGGGTCTACTGTACTCCATTGCTAGATTAACTTTCATAAATGAATACCGTGACATCAAGGAATTGTAAATTTAATATGAAGTGTGGTAAATTTAATACTAAAAAGTGTAATACGTTAGTGAGCCTAAACAAAAGGTTTCAGATTATTTACATGTTCAGTTTATATACTAGCCCATCAAATAAATTAGTCTTCTAACTATTGTGGGTGTGTGTGATAAAATTAATTTGAACTTATTTCTTTGCATGCTTTCTCTGTTTGTATCTTACAGACGCCGCAGGTCGTCATCTGGATCTTCCCATTCTGGTTCCCGTACAAGTTCTAAAAAGAAATAATGTATTAAAGTTCACATTTAAAAAAAAAAAAAATCCAGTCCAGTGCATGAGGCATATTTTTAAGAAGTTGGTGTCTTATTTGGTCAGAAGTGCTAAATCTGCTAGTAGAAGTGCATGTTTGTCCTTGCTTTCTGGGAAACTGCAGCTTTATTCATTCATTAAACAAAAAGTAAGGTAGCATTTTAAGCCATAAATTTCCCAGAGTAGGTGTGTACTTTTCATTATTCCATTTATCTCCTCAGATGTTGCATATTTGTATTGTTAAACAATGTATAATTGGGCCCACATGGTAGTACTACCACATGGTTGGTTTGTTTTTTAATTTTTAGGGCTCCAACCTACTACATTATTTACCATTCCCTGAGCTGTGAATGAAGACAGGTTGATCTGTGTAGTCCCACCCTCCAAAAGCAAGCTGCCTGCACATAACAGCTCCTGAGCTTCTTTGATGCACTTTTGCTAGGACCATAGGAAATTACTACAATTCTAAGGCTAAAGTATCCCATATGGGGAGGTTTTAGGCCAGGCTTCCAATTTTTCTCTATTTAAACAAAAGTTGTGATGAGTGGCAGTTTTCTCACATTTAGTACAGACGTCCGATTCCCGCACCCAGTACGAGGTTCTGTAATGGGTGAGTGAGACTTCCCTTCTCCCAGCTTGAAGGCTTTTTGGATCATTAAGCACTCTTCTCCATAGCTGAGGTCTATCTCAAAGCTGTAAGTCTCTATGGAGATTTAGCCTATTTGATCCTGTCTCAGCCAAGGAAAAGCTTGTTTTCTGCAGTAGGTTGCTGGGTGCAATTTAATTTCCATGTGTATGAAGTCTGTGATCCTCTCTTAGAAAGGGGACAGTCTTGTATGGACTTATAATGCTAAAATCAACATTATGTAGCTACTTTTGAAGTGATGGGGGACTTTATGAAACTAGTTTCTTTGGAGTTACAGTACAGGGTTGAAGCCTCTGCAAGCCACCAGTCAAAGATTAATGTGGGCTGGAGAGAGCTATTTTTTTCCACAGTAAATTTTACTTGTGGTAGATAAACTGCATAAGAAGTTCTCCTGAAATACAGATAAATCTGTGCTTCTAAATAAATGTGATCAAAGATCATCACTGTCCCCCTAAACTTTATAAAATTTATGGCTTAAAATGCTTTATGAAATTTGTTTTACTAGCAATATCACATTAAAGCCTGGTCATTCTTGAGCTCCGTTTGGTTAAGAAAGGTTTGTGTTAACAGTTATCTTCAGTGGCATCACAAGGTAAGTATGTTAAGGGAAAATAATGTTTTTTAAAACAAAAAAGCAATATATCTGTAATTATTTGAGTAGTAAAACTTTCAACATCTTTGATAGTTGCTTTTGTAAAATGAACTTCACAAGACAAACGGAGCAAAATTACATTCTGCTTTTCTTTTTTTTAAAAATGACTTTTTAAGTTCCTTTTGGACTGATTTGACAGAGCAAAATGTTTTTGTTGTAGAAATATTTTGATAATCTTTTTGCAGAAAAAATTGCCCTGCAACAACTTCTTTATCGCTTTCCTTTATATCTGATTTCCTTGCTAAATGTAGTTTAGATTGCACAAGAACAGTTAGTCTCTTTTAACTGTGCCTCTGACTTCAGGAAAGTCTACCTACTAAATTGTAAAAATCAGATCTATTAGAAGATATGTTACCTTTTGGTTTATTCTTGTGCTTTGTATTAAAATTGTTGCTGTACTTAGATAAAAGTTTTTAAATTTAGCAAATGGTAGGCTACAGACAACTCTGAGGAAAATTATGGTTTCATTTGGCTTAGATAAAATGTACTAGGTCATTTAATGAAGAAATGATTCTGCAGACAAATGTAAATAAAGCCTGTGAGTCAATTATACAATGAGTGTTTCTGTTTAGACATGTAGAACAAATCTTTCTGTCTGTTGGCTCTCTTTAAACTTTCCGCAATGCTAAGCCTTTTTATTCTGTTTAAAATATCTGTGATGTAGGAAGAACTAGCAACTTAAAGGCAAAAGCAGTTAATCCAATCCCAGCATGTCTCGTAAAATACAAGCAATATCCATTCTTATTGAATAACTGAATCAAAAAAACCATTGGGCAGTAGATCAGAATCAGGCCCACTTTGTGTAAAACATAGATTAATTTTAGGGCTTGTTTCAGGAAAAAGAAATCAACTTCCGTAGCCTAATATTGTAATTTGACTACAGTAAAATATTGTCCCATGGCCTTCTGGTTGGCCTTGCACACTTCCTAAGTAAAGACCTTTATATTTGGATTACAAATACTAGCTATAGAGTAAATGTTGGAATTTCTACAGACCTCTTTTAAACCTGGAAATATTAGCCCAGATGAAGGGAAACTGCTCTGGTTAAGAATAAAAGAAATGTCTTCATGGAAATACATGGTACTGTCTTTCAAAAACATGAAGTAAAACTGAATAAAAACAGACCAGTCTAGTTTCATTATCCAAACTGAGTGAAAATGGAAAATGCAAACCATGAATGTAAAAGATGAGGAGTAACTGATCTTTTTTTTTTAAAGATCAGCTGAATTGCCTTTTAAATAAATAGTTGGGAGAGAAGAGGATGGGTTGAAATCCTAAATCATTAACAGAATGCATATGTAGCCTTCAAATTGCAAAGTAGTACATTTTAAAAGTAAACAGATTTACTTGCCCCACACCTAAATTCAGTGATTTGTTTCTTCTGCAAGAGGTGAGGGTGACAAAAGATCAAGGAATTGCTTATGTTAGGTATGTCTTTATCTTTCAGGAAAAATATAATAACTTAAGTCATTCAACTTAAATAATTAGCATTGCACTAACTTGGAGCAGGCAGGATTAGCATTAGTGTGTCTAATAATTTGGGACACGTTTCCATCCCTGCACTGTGTGTGAAACTTACACCAAATAAACATGATTTTTTACATTTTGAGGTAAATAGCCAGGCTATTACAGACATGTCCTCTGTGGATCAGGCACAGAAGATGCCATGTAATATACACGGACCACGGGGTTATACTTATGCATGTTTGTCAAGGGAGGAATATTGAAATGTGTAATCATAATATATGCAAAACTACTGAAAAGGTTTTTTATTTCATTTTTAAATCCATATTGCACCTAATGCTGTGGGGAAATTTTACCATGTAAAGGGAAAGCGCTGAATGCAAACTTATGAAATGGTACGTGTTACATTTTGTAAAACACTTCAATTTCCTGTTGATCTAGGAAGTGGTGTGTCTTCTCATAGTCCGACTGTCATTCCTCTCCCCTTTCCTACAGAATGAATAGACCTATATCCTGCCACACAATATGATTGATTGAAGAGCTCAGTTGCCATCCCCACAGCAAAAGTTCAGTCTGTGCCTCATCGGCAGTTACAGACTAGTCCATCTGTTTGGTATGTGGCTCAGTTAGCCCTCTTGGGCCTGCCTATCATCCACTTCAGTGTCAACAGTGGATAATACAATACATCAGCGTCTCTACCATTTGTCACAATCTGGATCTCCTACTTCTCTCCTAGAGATTTTAAAATATCAATCTGTCAGAATCTGAGTTTCTGGTTTTAAAAGAAAGCAACAGAGGGAGGGAGGTTGAAAGCAGGACACTTTGTAAAACTTACACAAAAAAAAACATTTTCATAAAATTGGTCTGCAGTGCTCTGCCACTTACGAGCTTTAGAATCCCTGAAATTAATTGTTTGTATTGATTATCTTTTTACTGTCGGTGATAGCATTGTAAAAAAAAAAGAACTTTAATGTCTTTGGTACACTTTTTGAACTATTTTGGAGAACTTGTGATATCACTGAGGCCGAGCAAGTGCAACCTGATTGAGGAACGAATTGGCTTTTACCTGGATTATTTTCAACTATTAGGTATTAAAAACCATTTAACTCAAATGCCTTCTAAACAATGAGAACACGATTCAACATCTCTGCCCCTTCATTTAAGAGACAAGGGAGCTTCAAATCCTCATTTCTAGTTCCTCCATCAGAAACCTCCAGCAAAATAAGAAAAAAAACAATACTTGAGACTCTTGATAATGTACAAAATGAAGAATTAAAATAAAAATAAAACCACATTTACAAGATACAAGCCCATCCCTCCCTCCCCTTTAGATTACCTTAAACAATGGCCGACAGAGAATTCTTGTAGCTTCCTAACTGAATTTGGGCAAAAATCCTAGCTTGGTATAATTTTCTAAAGATTTTTCTAAGCCCTGCCTAGCAGTCCCTTAACACATGCAATTTGTAATCATTCTCTCGTTTTGGGTCTTCAGAATTAGTGCAGGGCCTTATTCTTGAGAACAAAAGAGTGGACTCAACATTGCTCTTCTAGCAGCAGTGTGCTAGTGCTTGAGAAAGCAGACAGAATGTTCTCTGATATATTTTTAACAATGTATATATGTTAATTTGGTTGTGAAACACCCATTAATGTTAACATGAAATGTGAGGCCCGACCCAGGCATCTCTAATGTCTTGTTGCTGAACTGAAGAGGACAGGTTGTGATATCACCCTGTAATTTGGATGCATTCACCCATCCCCTACTTTCTAGTTTTTTGGGTTTTTTTGTAATGTTCCATTTATTTATTTATGTATTGGACACTGCTACATCAGGGGTGCTAGGATTAGCCAATGGAAAGTAACTGAGAAAGTAGCTGGTGTGGGGTGAGGGAGATTGCAGGCATATTAGAGGAGATCTGACATAAGTGTAGCAGTCTGGGAGAAGAGAGCCTTGCAACTGATGGTGGCAGCAGAGTATCTCAGGAACTGGCAATGGGGCACAGATCTTTGTGCCTGTCAATAACAGTATGAATCTAACCTAGGTCAGGAGAAAGTGGAAGTAATTGACATCTGATGGTTGGTTGGTTGACCTATGAGAGATGAGTTAGATGTCAGGGTTCAATTGCTAAGGGGTAAGCATCCCCATCTGAAAACTACCATGTTAGTAACCAGGCTTGCTGGTGGTCTTAATACAATGGCAAGGGACTAAATGGGCAAGGAAGCTAAATACAACCCTTGGAGCATAGAGAAATTTACACAGAGGGCTGCAGTCTCTGTGATGCTGGTCTCCACCTTTTTTGTGAGTCTTAAAGTCAT